TGTGGCATTACTGTAAACAGGCTGTTGATGCTCAAAACCCTCCAATGTGGAGGAATTAAAATAATTCTTCAAAGAAAAGTGGCTCATAATTCTTCCACAGTGGATACAAAGACCTGTTGCTATTATTTGCAAAGCTTTATGGGAGTTGTTGTTGCTGTTGCCAAGCCTGGAAAGTGTAAGAGTTAGGTTTGCGTAGGCCTATCACATTAATCAATAAATCAAATGATAAATTAAAAATGAGCTCAATCATTTTCAGCTGTATGAGTTGTAGTTTTCTACCTAAAACTGGATGAAAAAAGTCTTCAGTTTGGTGCTTTGGTCTCAACTGGACCATTTTTTTTTTGACGGATAATTTTGCTTACAGAGACTTTGTGATTCATTGTATTTGTTGTTTCTGTTGTTGTCATTTATTTCTCTGGAATATTTCAAACATCTTCCAGTACCGGTGCTAAATATTAATTAGAAACGAAAGTTTATTGATCTTTCAGAATGTGTTCTTTTCATTGCCTCGCCATTACATTATTTAAAAATGGCCTCCAAACAGCAACATTATCGTTTTATCGTTAAAATCACTTCTAAAAGTTAAAATCTTTTAACTGGGCAAATGCAAAACACATCAACAGGTGACAAGACAAGCGGCGTTTTGAATATGATGAGAGAAAACCGCTGACTGACTTAAACAGAGATATCGCAGCTCCAGATCCGGTGTGTGGGAGACAAGTTGAACTAAAGCGGACCCACCGGCAGCTCAGAGTCTCCAGGTCCCATAACCTTGCCAGCCATTGGAAAGCGGGGCTGAGACGCCAGTAACTGCCTCCCAGGAAGAAATAACAGACACAATAACTAACAGGAAACATGCAGATTGACAGCTTAGCCCGTTCTCGCACGTTCTGCGCTCCACTCTGTGTTTTTATTTTCCCAGTAAGCTTTTTTTTATTGGAGTATCTGCGCTTTGCCCAGATCTGGCTGTTACTACAATAAAGTCCTCACGGGTTTTATTGAATGCGTTTGTTTCCTCGCCCCAAGAATTATGGCTTCCTCCAGTATTCAGTCAGTGTGTGTACGTATGTGTTTTCTCTGGCTGCAAGCGCTTTCCCTCCTCCGTTATGTCAAAGCGCATAGAGGCATGGCGTATATGTTTATTTATTTATTTTTTATAAATCAATTTCCACTGCTTGTCAGCACTAAGGCTACTGTCGGCAGCAGTAGATGGAGCTCCGCTCTGCTGTAAGGCTCTCTGATCTATCAGCTGTGACGTAATGCTCTCCTCAATCAGCGGCTCTGGGAACTGTAAATCAGAGTGCTGCTGCTCTGCGTGGCGCTAATGCCGGCTTCCTGCTCCCAGCTCCACCACTGAGCTCGTCCACCGTCCAAAACAGCCAGAGAACAGCAGGATAAGTGCCGGACATTTTAATTGCTCCTAATGGCCTCGCATATATGCGTCTCAATAATGCACTTCCAGCTCCCTCCCTCCCTTCCTCTGACCCCCAGAAAAACAGCAAAAAAAAAAGTGGGAACAATCCAGACGTGTTACTGCGGCTGCCCCCGAAATTTGTGGCTCGTGATCACCGCACTGCGAGGAAGTTCACTTTTTCGTACTGTGTTTCCAAGGACTTTGTTGTAAATGTCCTCTTAACTCGTTGAAAAATGAACTGTGTTACCCTGACTGCAGCCTTTGTGTTTGACAACTATTGTGTGCCACGCCTTACCTGAGTCCGAAACCTGATCGGCTGATCGGTTTATCCAGCGTAAATTCAAAGATCGAGAGATCAGAACCATAAGAAGAACATTATTTTTTGTTTGTTTGTTTGTTTCTGAGGTGTGAAACTATGAAACAGATTGACTATGAAATTGAAGAAACGTCCAAACATTAGATAATTCAAACATTAGATCCATCTGCATGAATGGCCAACACTAAATACAAGAAATTGTATTTAGTGTTGTGCTTGTTTTCATAGCATAATTTATTGTGCTTGTTTTCATAGCATAATTACCATCAATGTTATCATTATTGTTGTTAATACCATTAAAGCCATTTTTATGGCAGATTATGGGACGTACTGGATTAATTAAGAATCTGAGAGCAAAATGTAGGTATATTGTGACACATAGTTGTGATGTTGCTGGAGAAGAGATAGGTTTTAATACTTTAAGATCTGCTTAGACGCAAGAAATTTACAGTTGGTGCATTTTGCAAAGTAAAAATCAGTTGTTTACTTTGTGGCATTTTGTTTGCTAGGAGACACGCTTGTCTCTTAGCAACCAAATAACAAATATTGTTATTTTTCATAAAACAGGATTTCTTCTGCTCTTTCGAAATACTACTTACAATTTAAGAATTGTGCAATTGGCGAATTTTGCAGAAAAGTGGAAATGTTTTCTTTGTTATTGGTGGGAAATATGTTATAAAGCAGACATTCAACAGTACAGTAAAAGTGAGATTTTTACTTTGTGGCAGTTTGTTACCACAAAAGCGCTCATTTCTTAACACTAAATTAATCTTATTGTTTAGAAAACATAAGCTCTTTGAAAACAAAAGAACTTATGAGCTTAACTGCTTAGACACAAGAAATTTACAGCTGGTAAATTTTGCAAAAGTAAAAATCAGACGTTTACTTCAAGAAGCACTTCGTTCCCAGAAAACACCCTCGTCTCTTAGCAACCAACTAACAACAAATATTGTTATTGTTCAAAATACATTTCTTGGGCTCTTTAGATATTCTGCTTATCTCATACAACTTAACAGGAATTGTGCAGCTGGTGAATTTAGCTGAAAAGTGAAAATATTTTCTTTGTTATTGGTGGTAAATATATTAGAAAACAGACATTCAACACTACAACAAAAATTAAGATTTTTACTTTGTTTCTATTCGTTAACATAAAACACGCTCATTTCCTAACAACAAATTTATGACACGTAGTTCTTTGGGAAACATAAGCTCTTTTGAAACACCGTAATTGTAACATACCGTAATTTCCTAAGTATAAGTCAGGTTTTTTTCATAGTTTGGCTGGGGAAGCGACTTCTACTCCGGAGCGACTTGTGTGTGGAAATTAACACATCATCATATCATATCACGTTATTTTCACACTAAACCACAAGAGGGCGCTCTAAGCCTCTGTTATTCTACCTTTGGAGTTAGCGAAGTTGTTTAAAAACGACACCAAGGATGATTTCATTGACACGGATGGTTAGCACTGGTTAAACTTGTTAGCATGTTATTTATGCTATAGTTATCTGACTTATATATAGTTATCATAATGTTATGATAACTTACCAGGCACGTTCTTAGTTCGTTGTTTGTCACGTAACATTAGCGTAACGTACAATTAGTCAGCCTGTTGTTGCCTCTATTCTATTTTTATTGGTTTTTTTGATGTAGGATTTTGTCAAATAAATTTCCCTCCAAAATGTGACTTATGCTCCCGTGTGACCTATACATGTCCTTTTCTTCTTTATTGTGCATTTTATGGCTGGTGCGACTTATGCGCTGGAGCAATTTGTAGTCTGGAAAATACGGCATATAGTTGGTCAATTTTGCAAAAGTAAAAATCTGACGTTTACTTCGTGTCACTTCGTTCCCAGCAAACGCGCTCGTCTCTTAGCAACAGATTAACAACAAATATTGTTATTGTTCAAAATACATTTCTTGGGCTCTTTAGATATTCTGCTTATCTCATACAACGTAACAGGAATTGTGCAGCTGGTGAATTTAGCTGAAAAGTGAAAATATTTTCTTTGTTATTGGTGGTAAATATATTAGAAAACAGACATTCAACACTACAACAAAAAATTAAGATTTTTACTTTGTTTCTATTCGTTAACATAAAACACGCTCATTTCCTAACAACAAATTTATGACACGTAGTTCTTTGGAAAACATAAGCTCTTTTGAAACACCGATTAGATGTAAGACATACCGTAATTTCCTAACTTTAAGTCAGGTTTTTTTCATAGTTTGGCTGGGGAAGCGACTTCTACTCCGGAGCGACTTGTGTGTGGAAATTAACACATCATCATATCATATCACGTTATTTTCACACTAAACCACAAGAGGGCGCTCTAAGCCTCTGTTATTCTACCTTTGGAGTTAGCGAAGTTGTTTAAAAGCAACACCAAGGATGAAGATTTCATTGACATGGATGGTTAGCACTGGTTAAACTTGTTAGCATGTTATTTATGCTATAGTTATCTGAATTATATATAGTTATCATAATGTTATGATAACTTACCAGGCACGTTCTTAGTTCGTTGTTTGTCACGTAACGTTAGCTTAACGTACAATTAGTCAGCCTGTTGTTACCTCCATTCTATTTTTATTGTTTTTTTTGATGTAGGATTTTGTCAAATAAATTTCCCTCCAAAATGTGACTTATGCTCCCGTGTGACCTATACATGTCCTTTTCTTCTTTATTGTGCATTTTATGGCTGGTGCGACTTATGCGCTGGAGCAATTTGTAGTCTGGAAAATACGGCATATAGTTGGTCAATTTTGCAAAAGTAAAAATCTGACGTTTACTTCGTGTCACTTCGTTCCCAGAAAACGCGCTCGTCTCTTAGCAACAGATTAACAATAAATATTGTTATTGTTCAAAATACATTTCTTGGGCTCTTTTGATATTCTGCTTTTCTCATACAACCTAACAGGAATTGTGCAGCTGGTGAATTTAGCTGAAAAGTGAAAATATTTTCGTTGTTATTGGTGGTAAATATATGATAAAAGACATTCAACACAAAAGTAAAACATCTGATTTTGACTTTGTCGCTGTTCGTTACCAGATATAACGCTCATTTCTTAACACAAAATTCATGACATGAATGTCTTTGGAAAGCATGAGCTCTTTTGAAACATTGATTAGACATAAAACATATGTAGTTGGTCAATTTTGCAAAAGTAAAAATCAGGCGTTTACTTCGTGTCACTTTGTTACTGTTATTGTTCATAAATCATAAGATTTCTTCTGGTCTTTTAAAATACTACTTATCTTATATTACTTACAGGAATTGTGCAGCTGGTGAATTTTTGCCGAAAAGTGAAAATATTATCTTTGTCACTAGTGGTAAAAACATTTTGAAGGAGACTTTTCAACACAAAAGTAAAAATCAGATGTTTACTTTGTGGCATTTTGTTTGCTAGGAGACACGCTTGTCTCTTAGCAACCAAATAACAAATATTGTTATTTTTCATAAAACAGGATTTCTTCTGCTCTTTCGAAATACTACTTACAATTTAAGAATTGTGCAATTGGCGAATTTTGCAGAAAAGTGGAAATGTTTTCTTTGTTATTGGTGGGAAATATGTTATAAAGCAGACATTCAACAGTACAGTAAAAGTGAGATTTTTACTTTGTGGCAGTTTGTTACCACAAAATGCGCTCATTTCTTAACACTAAATTAATCTTATTGTTTAGAAAACATAAGCTCTTTGAAAACAAAAGAGCTTATGAGCTTAATTGCTTAGACACAAGAAATTTACAGCTGGTAAATTTTGCAAAAGTAAAAATCAGACGTTTACTTCAAGAAGCACTTCGTTCCCAGAAAACACCCTCGTCTCTTAGCAACCAACTAACAACACATATTGTTATTGTTTATAAAACAAAAGATTTCTTCTGGTCTTTTAAAATACTACTCATCTTTCTAGTTTCTACTTAAGAATTGTGCAGATGGTGAATTTTTGCCGAAAAGTGAAAACATTTTAAAGGAGACGTTTCAACACAAGAGTAAAAATCAGATGTTTACTTTGTGGCGCTTGGTCACCAGCAAACGCGCTCGTCTCTTAGCAACAGATTAACAACAAATATTGTTATTGTTCAAAGTACATTTCTTGGGCTCTTTAGATATTCTGCTTATCTCATACAACTTAACAGGAATTGTGCAGCTGGTGAATTTAGCTGAAAAGTGAAAATATTTTCTTTGTTATTGGTGGTAAATATATTAGAAAACAGACATTCAACACTACAACAAAAAATTAAGATTTTTACTTTGTTTCTATTCGTTAACATAAAACACGCTCATTTCCTAACAACAAATTTATGACACGTAGTTCTTTGGAAAACATAAGCTCTTTTGAAACACCGATTAGATGTAAGACATACCGTAATTTCCTAACTTTAAGTCAGGTTTTTTTCATAGTTTGGCTGGGGAAGCGACTTCTACTCCGGAGCGACTTGTGTGTGGAAATTAACACATCATCATATCATATCACGTTATTTTCACACTAAACCACAAGAGGGCGCTCTAAGCCTCTGTTATTCTACCTTTGGAGTTAGCGAAGTTGTTTAAAAACGACACCAAGGATGATTTCATTGACACGGATGGTTAGCACTGGTTAAACTTGTTAGCATGTTATTTATGCTATAGTTATCTGAATTATATATAGTTATCATAATGTTATGATAACTTACCAGGCACGTTCTTAGTTCGTTGTTTGTCACGTAACGTTAGCTTAACGTACAATTAGTCAGCCTGTTGTTGCCTCTATTCTATTTTTATTGGTTTTTTTGATGTAGGATTTTGTCAAATAAATTTCCCTCCAAAATGTGACTTATGCTCCCGTGTGACCTATATATGTCCTTTCTTCTTTATTGTGCATTTTATGGCTGGTGCGACTTATACGCTGGAGCAATTTGTAGTCTGGAAAATACGGCATATAGTTGGTCAATTTTGCAAAAGTAAAAATCTGACGTTTACTTCGTGTCACTTCGTTCCCAGCAAACGCGCTCGTCTCTTAGCAACAGATTAACAACAAATATTGTTATTGTTCAAAATACATTTCTTGGGCTCTTTAGATATTCTGCTTTTCTCATACAACCTAACAGGAATTGTGCAGCTGGTGAATTTAGCTGAAAAGTGAAAATATTTTCGTTGTTATTGGTGGTAAATATATGATAAAACAGACATTCAACACAAAAGTAAAACATCTGATTTTGACTTTGTCGCTGTTCGTTACCAGATATAACGCTCATTTCTTAACACAAAATTCATGACATGAATGTCTTTGGAAAGCATGAGCTCTTTTGAAACATTGATTAGACATAAAACATATGTAGTTGGTCAATTTTGCAAAAGTAAAAATCAGGCGTTACTTCGTGTCACTTGGTTACTGTTATTGTTCATAAATCATAAGATTTCTTCTGGTCTTTAAAATACTACTTATCTTATATTACTTACAGGAATTGTGCAGCTGGTGAATTTTTGCCGAAAAGTGAAAATATTATCTTTGTCACTAGTGGTAAAAACATTTTGAAGGAGACGTTTCAACACAAGAGTAAAAATCAGATGTTTACTTTGTGGCGCTTGGTTACCAGAGAACACGCTTGTCTCTTAGCAACAGATTGACTCCAAGTATTGTTATTGTTCAAACACACAAATGACACATAATGTTATTGTTTAGAAAACAAGCTTCTTTGAAACACTGCTTCAGCTTACACACTCCTTGCCATTTGCTATTTATTTCATTGTTGACACTTCAGTTTGTAGTTCATAACATTCAAAAAAACATGGAAATATGAAATAAGAATGTTGGGTAAAGTCAAAACCTTTTAAAGAATCATCTTTAAGCTGTTTTTGAGATTTAGCCATCGACTGAACAAAGAAATTGCTTTGTGTCTGGTGACTCGTCAGTCCAAAGCTGAAAACCAGTCCAAAGCTAATATTTATGAACTAAAAAGCCGATTGCGAGCACCTCTCATATTTTTTTTTCTTCCTTTTCTTCTGTTGTTTCAGGTTCCATCAAAAATAAAACCTACCATATTTATTTTATTTTGGTGTCTCCCTCTACAAAGGTATCCATAAACCTGCCCTGAATACAGATCTACACCAGATTCAAAGTTTTTTTTTTTCTCTTCAGATTTTGATTTGCAGGGGGGAGAAAAAAAACAACCTTTTCCTTCCACTTCACAGTGATGCATTACTTTATGTCGGTCTATCATATAGAAATGCAATAAAATGCGTTGAACTAAAATGCATTTCTCATCGTAACATGAAAACATTGGAAATGTTCAAAGGACATGGATACTTTCGTAAGGCTATGTGCATCTTATGAATCCTGAAGTTGTTTACAGTCTGAAATTACCAATGCGCCTTCCCATAATAAGCAACAATGGACACAGTTGCCTAGATTAACATGAAGTATTTGTCCAAAGGCCTCGGTCTGCAGAGAAAGACAAATTGGCTCGGAATATCAGAGCATATCAAAGGTCCCATCAAATGGCATATCAGAAAGCAGGATGAAAATAACGACGCAGCTCCGGTGGTTCTCTGGTGGTGGAACAGCCCAAGCGCATGTTTCAGGTTCCAGAAAGGCATTAAAAGCGAGTGACATTCTAAAAATGAAAGGCCTAACCTCTGTAAATCAAGCGTGCCGATCCTGACAGGTTTTCCTGGGTTTATAAAGCCAAACCCCAGCGAAAAGAAATAAAAAAAATTGTAAAAAAAAAAGCAACATTAGCTGTCAACACAGAGCCGAACTAAAATTCAGCAATTGAATCCAGCCTGCGCGGTTAAAGTTGCCCCGCTCAACCTCCCCGAGCTGCTCTCCGACTTTATGATTGCTTCCATCTTTCCTCCCAGTGGGCAAGAATCACTTTGTCACTTTAAACAGATGTTGCTTTTGGCAATATGACTAATGCTCTCATTTTGCTTCCAAGGTGTAGAAGCGCTGCAACCCACAAGACAGAGGAGGGAGGGATGGGGGCTTATTGTAGGTGGCGGGGTTGTTGGATAAATCCAAAAGCAGCGATGTGACAGCAAATGTATGAATAAAGAGAGGTTAAAAAAAAAGGGAAAAAAATCAAAAATCCGGAGAAGTGCTCTGGTAATATTGTACTCCGGTGGCACGGTGACCTCCTTCTGCTTTAAAGGTGGAGGCAGAGCCTGATAAGGAAGGTCAAAACCTGGGATTTATTTATTTACCCATGAGTTTGAGGATTTCCTCCAAAGAATAGCTTGCTGACTTGGAGAGATAATGATTGCTGGAGTTTGAGACGTTTTCCTATCAGGAGGACGCACACACACACTCACACACACACACACTAAAAGGTAACAAACCCTACAGAGATGTGCAGAGTTCAACAGATGGAGCCGGGAAGGGCAGATGGAAGGAGCCGCACCAGTCCTCTCGCAAAGGGACGCTGTACTGTAAACGTCAGCACAAGAAAGTCGAACTGGGGGGGTAGAGGGAGAAAGAAAGGACAAGACGTGAGGGTTTGAAGAGGATCCTCTCTGAAGGATTTAAGGTTTAGAGCACGGAGTTTGGAGGATTATTGGCATGGTCAGGATTTTTCAATGAAGTACATGATCTTCTAGTACTACGGGAGTCGCGGCTTAGAGGCAGAGAGGCTGATGTCAGGTCGGTCAACATTTTGAAGAAACAGACAGACTACAGGCTCCTGCACAGGTGTTCACTGCAATAAGGGAAGGAGCTATAGAAAAGTGAAGGGAAAGAGTAGCATAGGGTTACAGTCGCAAAAAACCAATGGCTGTAATCAGGAGATAAAGTAAGAATTAAGATAAAAAGAAAAGGGAATTCATTTCAAAAGCAGGGTTTTTCAAATATATAAAGTGGGTGTGTAAAGTCACAAATGTAAGAAGCACTGAAACAATGGAAGCTAACAGCTGAGAAGGTACGTTTATTGCCCAGTGTTTCACTAAGTCAGTCGAGTGTTGGCTTTAGTGAACACCAGGCTGGGAAATGCAACTCATGTTGATTAAAACAATAAAGGCCAACATATAAGGTTGACCCCAAGACAACGCGACTGAAAGTGTTTGTGCACAGGTCTGCACATTTCCCCGACTGTCAGCCCCATGCCCTCCTGCAAACAGATGCTTCTGGGTTTTCAATGTAAAATCCTAACTAAATAGTCAAGAAAAACATGAAATACTCAAAATATTACGACACAATAAAGAAACCACTCCATTTGGTAGAACCCAGTGATGCGATTGGTGACATCATTTAAACAGGAAGTGCTGGGCCGGCACCACCCATACACCTGCTCAGGGTGCAGCATCCATGGTGAATGAAAGGAAAACAAAACAGTCTAACAGAAATGTGGCTTTGACCAAAAGAAACATTCGTATTTACCAAATGC